CGAGTGAGTGCGTGTCCCGTGATGGACTGGCGTCCCCGTCCAGGGAGTAGGCTGCCGGGATGGACCCCTGCACCCCCGCGACCCCGGACTGGAAGAAGCGGCTGGAAAGGGAGCTCAAGGACTCGAGGTCTGTCCCTAAAGTACTCCCTGAGTCGCGTCACCTGGTCGCCTGATCCCCGTGGAATCAAAGAGGTGATCTGAATGGGGACCTGCTGAACCAGGGCGCCCCAGGAACAGAGCCGGGGACCGCCTCGCGTGAGGCGCGCGGAGCCACGAGAATGTGTCCTCAGTGAGGCACTGTGGGTACAGCCCCAGCCGGGCCGGGCCGGGCCGGGCCGGGCGGCAGAACCCCCAGAAAGCGTGCCGCCGGCATGTGCCACTTTCTCATGCTACTAATCAATCTTCCCCTGCTCCGTCGATCCATGACTCCAATGAGCTCTCCCGGAGTTCAGATGACTGTGAATAAAGACATGCTTCATAGCACTTCGGAATGATCGGACCCTCCACTGATGTTGAATGAGATACTGTGAGTGCTATTCATTTCGTTACTTTTCCTGCTGATTGATTGATTAGACCGGTCAGTGCAGGGGTTAATAGTTCATCTCCAGGCATGGTGCCGCGGTTATGTAACCGACTCACGAAGCCCAGGTGAGGAGAGCACGCCTTCGCGGTAACCCTGTCGAGCGGTGCTCAATGGACAATATGAATGATCTTTCCCGCCTCCCCGCGCCCGGGACGTCACCGCCCAGCAGGTAGGAGCCTCAGACTCGACCAATCGAGACGGATTCGAAGCGGGATCCGGGGACACGGGTGAACGCGGTTTCACGCCTGACTCGCGTATGGGACTTATTCCAAATCAAATGTCAATAGCCGTATAAGTAGCGTGAGCGCCTCTCTTTCTCATCTGTCTCACGCTCCCGAGCCGCTGTCCCTCTCCCTCGCTCCTCCAGTTCAAAGGGTTGTATGGGCCCGACCGGCCCGCTGGGCTACTGTACCCCCACAAAACACAGCTGACGTCACCTCAGGGCATCTGCCACAGGTACACAACCTGGGGTGACCAGACGCCCGCCTTCTCCCAGACACCTCCTCTTTCTGAGCCCTAAAATATCGGTCCGACCGGGATTTGAAAAATTCCAGAAACTGTCCAGGACTTTGTTTTGCTCGTTACCCGGGCTGTGTAAAGAAACGTAGGCCTACAGTACAGATTTTCGCTCGTCCCATACATTACCGGTAGATGTGTTGAATTTACACGCAGCGCAGTGTGAACAGGGATTCTGTGTGTGTGTGGGGGGGCTGTTTTTATGGCCATGAGAAACAACAACGTTTCATTTGTTTCATTACATTTCAAAATGTTTCGTTAAAATCGATAATTTTTGCCACCAATGAGGACTTCTCCTAAGTTGTGAGGTCTTCATCAGACGTTAAGACTTTTGTTGTCTTAAAATGGAACAAAAACAACGTTAAATTTAAAATAGGGCTATATTTTTGTTTTTTCCTTGTTTGCCGTTATGGAATAGAAAGAGCAACCCTACAACTGTTGAAAAATTTACTAAGAAGTTTAATTAAAACAAGAGAGTTAAACTTTACTTTTGATTAGAAAAAGTAATACAATTTCATTAGTTTGGAAGCATGTGTCGAGTGTCGATTATCCCCCCGTCCTCTTTGAAAACCAAAATCTGGTCACCCTGTACATCACAAACGGCGAAGATATAAAGAACAAAATAGAGCTCTAACGCTACATCAGAATCCTTAGAATCAACAGGAAAAGAGGAAAAACCCCGCAGGAAAATCGATCGGTGACGAGTCGATGCCACCGGCTCCC